CTTGTTGAAGCTGTTCACGCCGATTTTGCGGGATGCGGTTTCCCTGTTCTATGCTTCCCGTCTCGCGTGTCGGCAGGCGGTGCTGGGTTCCTCCGTGGAATCTGCTTGGGCTCTGGCTCTTAGGCGTTCTTCACCTTTTTGTCCTCTCCTGTTTGGGGAGTCGGCCGTGGCGCAGTTTATTCAGGCTGCGTCGGCGGCTTGTCGTCCGATGTCGGACTTGTTGGTTTTCCGGGGGTCCCGGGGTGGGTCTTCCCGGAAAGGTCGTGCCAGGGCTCGGGGTTCCTCTCGTCGTGGTAGGCCTCTGGTGTCAGGTTTGGGGTTGGCTCCTCCTGCGGACCCTCCCTCGTCTGGTCGGCGCGGTGTTCGCGCTGTGCGGGGTTCTGGGTCTCGTAAGGGTCGCCGGCCCTTTCGCGGTTTGCCCCTTTGACGGGGCGATGGGGGGGCGGCTTGCGCTGTTCGCCCGCGCCTGGTCCCACGATTCGTGGGCCTTTCGGGTCGTGTCTCGCGGCCTGCGGTGGCGTTGGGTGGCCCCTCCCCCCTTTGGGGGGTCGGGGCTGGCGGGGCAGGCTTCTTCCCCTGCGCTCTGTCGAGTCGTCTTGGAGTGGGTACGCTTGGGCGTCGTCGAAACGACGTCGTCCCTCAGATGGGTTTCCCGTCTGTTTCCGGTTCCGAAACGGGACTGCGCGGACCTGCGGTTCATTCTGGACTTGTCCCGTCTGAACCCCTGGGTTCATTGCCCCTCCTTTCGGATGACTACGCTGTCTCAGGTTCGGCTCCTCTTGGAGCCGGGTGCTTGGATGGTGTCCCTGGACCTCCGGGACGCTTATTGGCATGTCCCGATTCATCCGCGGTTCAGGGACTGGCTCGGTTTTGTAGTGGGGCGTCTGAGTTACCGCTTTCGTTGTCTCCCGTTCGGGTTGAACCTGGCACCTCGCGTGTTCACACGCCTTACACGGGTTGTGGTGGCTCGTTTGCGTCTCCTAGGTGTTCGGGTGTTGGCCTACCTCGACGACTGGCTGGTTTGGGCTCCCAGCCAGTCAGCTTGCTTGCTAGCCAGGGATTTGGTTCTTTCCCAGCTCGCCGGGTTCGGGTTCTTGGTGAACTGGAGGAAGTCCCATCTGGTTCCCTCTCAGGTTCGGACTTGGCTGGGTCTCGTGTGGGACTCTCGGACCGCCTCCTTGTCTCTCCCTCCGGAGTCTCTCCTGCGGCTGCGGTCCCGCCTTCGTCTGTTTCTGGAGGGCCCTCGGGTCACCCGGCGGTTGCTCGAGGGGCTGTGCGGGAGCCTGAACTTCGCGATGGTGGTCTACCCGCCGGGTCGGGTTTGGCTTCGACGGCTGTTCTGGTTCCTTCGGGGTTCCCCCTTCCGCCTCTCTCGCGATCGCAGAGTTCGACCCCCGGGGGACTTGCGTCGGTTGCTGCGTCACCGGCTTCCTCTTCGGGTTTTTCGGGGTTCAGTGCCTTGGCGCCTACCCGAGCCCTCGCTCGATGTGTACACGGATGCGTCGTCTCTCGGCTGGGGTTTTGTGACCAGTGCTCACCAGGCCGGCCAGGGGCGTTGGGATCCGTCCTTCCGTCGAGCTCACAGTACGGTGCGGGAGTTCGCGGCAGTGTGGTTTGCTCTGGGGAGGATTCGGGTGGCCCGCGGATCGACGATTCGGCTCCATTCGGACTGCTCTCCGGTGGTTCATTGCCTGAACCGCGGGGGTTCGATGCGGTCCTTGTCTCTTTGGGGTTGGTCGCTTCGGGTGACTCGTCTGCTGAGTTCTCGGGGTTTGGCTCTCCTGGCGGTTCACGTACGGGGCGTGTCCAACGTCTTGGCCGACGCCCTGTCTCGCTTCGTTCCCCTCTCCACGGAGTGGACGGTCGACGACGAGTCCTTCCGTTGGCTTTGCCAGACGTTCGGGCGCCCCGAGGTGGACCTCTTCGCGTCGGCGTGGTCGCGGCGTCTTCCCGTTTATGCGGCGCCCTTCCCCGATTGCGAGGCCGTCGGGGTCGATGCCTTTCGGCTCGACTGGTCGAGGTGGGGGTTCCTGTACCTCTTTCCCCCTGTTCGGCTGTTGCTCCAGGTCCTGACTCGCTTAGAGACTTACCGGGGGAGAGTTGTCCTTCTGGCCCCTTGGTGGCCGGCCCAGCCTTGGTTTCAGGCGCTGGTTGCTCGGTGTCCGAACCCGAGGGTTTTCCCGCGGCTCCGCCTCTTTCAGCAGATCGGGCCGGTACGTCACGTAGCTGGTTCGATCTTCTCCTCGAGTCTTCGCGTATGGTTTTTTTGACTCGAGTCTATCATCATCTCTATGGTGATCAGGTGGCCTCCTTGTTGGTGTCCCACCTGAGGGCTTCTTCTCGGCGGCAGTATGAAGTTTCCTGGCGGTCCTTCCGTTTCTTTTTGCGTCTTCGTCGTGTTAGCTCCTTGTCTGTTCGGGTGGTCTTGTCCTTCCTCTCGTGGTTGTTTCAGGACCGTCATCTTATGCCTAACACTGTCGCTTCGTATCGTGCGGCGCTGGCGGAGCCGCTTCAGCTTGCTTTCGGTATCGATGTTACGTCTGCGCCGTTTCGCAAGCTGTCTCGTGCATTGTTTCACCTCCGGCCTGCTCATGCGTCGCCTGAGCCGTCCTGGTCTTTGGACAGAGTGCTCGCTTTCCTTTCATCTCCTCGTTTCGTTGTGGCCCCTTCGGTCCAGGATTGTTTTTCCAAGGCACTTTTCTTGTTGGCTTTGGCCTCTGGGGGTCGGGTAGGGGAGCTTCATGCTCTCCTCCGGCGCAGGGGTTTCTGCTCTTTTGGTCGTGGTGATAGTTTTGTTCGTTTGCAGCCGTCTCCTTTTTTTCTGGCGAAGAATGAGACTGCTGCGTTCCGGAGGGGTCCATGGGTGGTTGATGCTTGGTTGGTCAGGCCGGGGGTGCATCATGTTTTGTGTCCGGTTGCGGCGCTTCGCCGTTATTTGCGCGCCACAGCTTCTGTGTCCGGGGACGCGCTGTGGGTTGATCCGGTTTCCCTTCTTCCCTGTTCGCGGGTTCGGGTCTCTCAGGTCGTCCGCAGGGTTATTAGGTCTAGCCAGCCTGCGGTCTATCCCCGTGCCCATGACGTTCGTAAGTTCGCGGCTCTTGCTGCCGTCTTTGGGAATATGTCTTGGTCTGATATTCGGGCGCGGGGATTTTGGCGGTCGAACAGGGTCCTGGCTGCTCGTTACCTTGTGAATGTCCCTGGCCCTCGTCGGGCCTGTGTTGCTTTGGGTCGGCGGTTGCAGCCAGTTGTCTCGGCTTCGAGTTGAGGGGTGAGCGACGACCGCCTCCCGGGTAAGTCCCTCTTTTTCTGTCTGTGGGTAGTTAGCTCCGGGGAGCCGACGGGGCTCCCCCCAGAAAACCAGCGTTGAATGTAATGAAACGCCATTTTCTGGGTGAGTCCCGGAGGCTCCCCGGCATCCCTCCCTCCCTCCGGTCGGCGGTTTTTCGCGTTTTTGACATCCAGCCTCAAGAACTGAGGTGTGGGTAGCCGGCGCGGGGGGTCTGGGGCTCCCCCTTCCCCCTCCCGGGGAGGGGGGAGCTGCGCAGACAGCGGCGCGGCAGTGTGTGACGTCACACTAATTTGCTTGTTTTCGGTTGGGGAGTTCTATCCACTAGTTCGGTATTAGGTAGCAATTTTAACCAGAATAGGGGTTTGTTTTGGGGCGCTTACCTTTCTGGGTGCCTGTTCCGGTCGATGGCAGACATAGAATGCTTCCAACTACACGGGGGCTTCTATAGGCCATTGCTCCCCTTGCCTCTCTGAGGGGGCCCGGTTCTGGCCGTGGTCCCCGGTAGGCCTAAGAACTCCATACACATGACTGATGCCAAAGTCTGACATTAGCATATCAGCCTGGGATAGCTCCGGGGAGCCTCCGGGACTCACCCAGAAAATGGCGTTTCATTACATTCAACGCTGGTTTTTTCAACAAAACTTTGCAGTTTCCCATACAGCACTTCACACATTTTCTTAATGAGGAAGGGACATCCTCTACTGCCTCAACTCACAACTATTTTCTTAGCTTGAACCTTACCACTGACTTTCTTGGGACCAATGGCATGATATAACCCTCATGGGGTTCAACCACTACAAACCACCTCAAGTCCATCATTACCCAGCAAAAATCTGCTATCAGAATAATAACAAATTCTGCTTTCAGACAACACTCAGCCCCCTTGTTTAACTCCCTAAACATGCTAAACATAATCTCACTCCACAAATTCTCTTGTCAACTACATTTACAAAACCCTGTTCTTAAATGCAAATCCTGCTCCGAAACTCTCCCTGGACAGATGTAATAGGACCCATTATCACCACACCAGAAATAAATATCTCTTTGATATCCCCAGAGTCAAACTTAATTTGTGTGAACACTCTATGCAAATAAAGGGACCCAGTCTATGGAACTCACTCCCTATTGAATTGAAAAGCTGTCCAACTTTTGCATCATTCAAAAACAATACTAAAAAGTACCTAATTTCATCTTCATAGTTTTTTACCTTTTGCTTTAAAACTGCACTGTATCTATTGCTACCCAATCTCCCAATCTTTATGTACCCAATCTGAACATCTTTATCATTGCGATCATTGCTGTCTTCTTATATGTACTGTCAATCTGCTGTATGGTGTCTATTAATCTTGTTTAAATTACCAATCAAGCTGTCAGTGTAATCAATCAGAGCTTTAATATACTAATGAGCTTTAATATACTTACTAATCTCTCTCATCTCATTTTTTTTTCTTGCAATGTATTTGTTATCATTTTATTAATTCTGATAGAATTTACCTACTTAAAATTATCTGTTAGATTAAGGACCTGCCAGAAACGCTGCACGTACTAGTGGCTTTACAAGAGTGCAATTACTCTACTATGCTATGTATTCTCACAAACCCAATGTACCTTCTTGTATATAAATAAATAAATAAATAAATAAATAAATATATAATAATCAGTTTTATGTTCAAAAAGCAAAAAATCACCACAAAAACGTAATTTCTTTTAGGCGTGATCGTCACTAAGCGGGCAGCTCTAATTAACTGAGGCAGGTTGGTCCGCGTGACTAGGAACCACGCGCTCGGTCGACCCAAACGTATACCAACAAATATCGTTAGTCGACGATACTATCGTAAGTCGAGTTGGATTTTTCAATTAAATTTACATCGTAACTCGAAATTATCATAAGTCGGGGCAATCGTAAGTCAAGGTGTCACAGTACAAAAAGATAGGATAACAATAAACCAGTAATATTTCTTTCATTATATTTTTTATTTAAATAACTGCATCAATATTTTTACAGCTGACAGGATTTGTTTCTCACAGGTGCATTACAGTATTTGTTAAAAAATAATTAGGTTTATTGCTACACACAATGGTGCTACACAGCCTTCCCAGCTTGGTGCTTTCTTTTGATAATTACTTACTGATTGTTACACAGCCAAATTGTGTAACAGGAAGAGGTCTTGGACACAAATTTGTTCCATGCTAAATGTAGAGGAATCAGCTGAACATTCCTCAAATAAAATAGGCTGCCTCAGCTTATAAGGTAAATAAAATAAGCATTCCTCAAATAAGTAGCTGCCTCACCTCACTGCCTTACTGCTACATAGCCTTCCCGGCATGGTGCCTTCTTTTGATAATTACTGGTTTCACACACCCAAATTGTGTAACAGGAAGAGGTCTTGAACCCCTACTTCCCTCTCTCTTTTTTTAATAGTCCATATAGTCATAATTATAGGTTTAAGTATTCAATGAGAAGAGTTTTTGAAGTTTTTACCCTAACATCATTTGTGCAGGATATTTTTCTTTTATGTCTCACCCAGATTTAATTCAAAATAAAACCAAACAAAATAAATTAAAACTGTGTATGTATAGCTAAGGTACACCCTTACCGATTACTAGGTGAACAGGGGCATTTGGTGATAGGAAATGCTCCCATCTGGCAGGGCTCATAACCTTCTCTCATATTTCATGTTCACCAGTGTTTATTTACTTAATAACAAATATCTTGCTATTATAAAACTAATTCTACTATTATAAAAGACATATTTACTTCAAGTTTCAAGCAGAGAATGCATATACAGTATAACTAACATGAAGGACTCCTTCATGAGATTCCCCAACTAATAATTTTTTGTTTATATTAAAATCGATCCCAGTGTTATGTAGTAGAGAAAAATTGAGTTATATCCAGTTTACGTAAAGCTACGAGTGGTCGACAGCACACTTAGATGACGGACCAAACTTACGAAGGTTTTTCTTCTTAGTGTAGCTACCTGAATACCGACGTAGCCGCCACGAAGGCGCTAAGAAGAAAAACATTTGTAGCTAAGAAGAAAAACATTTGTAAGTACCTTCGTGAATCTGGCCCCAGAAAGGTAGGCACCCCGAAACACACCCCTATTCTAGTAAAACTATTGTAACCCAAGACCGAACAAGTGGACAGAACTCTCCAAACGAAAATTAGCAAACGAGCATGTTGTCATCATGTTGCCGCACCGCTGTCTGCACAACCCTCTCTTCCCAGGGAGGGGGAAGGGGGAGCCCTAAACCCACACACCGGCAACCTAACCTTCAGTTCTTGGCTGATGGAAGTCTGGTGCGGTTGTGCTTCTGGCTCCAGTTTTTCGTTACAGTTCTGTGCCTTGTGGTGTGGGCTGTCCCTTCCGGTGGTGCGTGAGCTGGGAGTGAGATTCCACAGTACCCAGGCTACATGTGCCTAGATTTCCTTTCCCTAGGAGCCCTGTAAGTACTGCCCTTGGGGCTTGGGGCCTCCTTCCATAAGTCACCTCGGGATCTACCTCTGCTGTGCCATTTACTGCTCGGTATTTGGGAACCCTTGGGGTCAGCTGGTTTTTTTTCTTCCCCTTGTTTGTCTCTGGGTAGGGGGTAGCTTTCATCACTGGCAGGGGCATGGGGTACTGGACAGCTTGTTTTCACCAATAACAGCGGCCAGCTCTGTTCCGCCTGGGTACGTTGTCCTCTTGCTGGGTTATTCTTTTGTTTTTGTTTTCTGCCTGGTGGAGAGCTCTGCCTTTATGGTCCCCCTTTGCTGTTCTTGGGGTATTCTATTATATCTGTTTTGGTGGTGCTCCCCGTTTGGCCCCCGTAAGTGGACACGTCCCAGGAGTGCAGCTTTTAGAAATTTGTTTGGTAGACTTGGGTGCCGGTTCGCACTACCCTGCCTGGGCTTCCCTTAGCGTGATACCAAGGCTAAGGGCCCCTGGGAAACCCCATGGGGGCTACGTGGTCCGATGGATGTGACCCCTGAGTCCCCACTCGCATCTTGCTAGTTTGAAGGTTGCTCTGTCCCCTTGTCTCAGGGTGACACTCACCGGTTTTGCCTCCGCCATGCTGCTTGTTGGGTCGGTGATTGTTTTGACCCGGAGTCGTGGGACGTGTGTTGACTGTACGTACTCCAATTCACCCAGGCTGCTGTGCCTGATATGTGGATGCGGGCGGCTGAGGCATTGCATGCTCAATTTAGGTTGGTTGCTACCCCTGATGCCCCGAAACTGCCCCATTTTGGTTATAGGGACCCGGACTTGGGGGTGTTAGTCACTTTGACTCTGGCTATGATTCTGTCTGCCCCTCCTAGTCCTTTCCCTTCTGTAGTTCATTCACCCCCCCTTTGTTTTGGGCTCCGAAGCCTCTGAGGGTTTCGGAATCAGGGTAGGATTAGTGTTGAGACTGTGGCGGTCTCGGGGGTGTCTCCTTCTGGGGTTGCAGTGGAGGCATTCGAACCTGGTTCTTCTGCTGGAGCTTCTGGGTCTGGCCAGTGGGCCCCCCTTCATTCCTGCTTTTTTGGCAGCTCCCGCCTTTTCTCTGGAGGTGGGAGGTTTGGAGGCCGGCTTGGCCCCGGGTCCTCAGGGCGAGGTTCCCGGGGTTGGCTTGGGGGCCTTGGGCCCCGTTGGACTCCGCCTGGGTTTTTCTGCCCTCTGAGCGGGGCTTGGTATTACAAGGAGAGGGGGGTTCTCTTTCGCTCCCTCCGCGTACAAATTGGATTTGGTGTCCACCCCTCCTCGGGTTCGGTTCTGTGATCCCGCAGGTTCTTCAGTTCCATCTTTCCAGAGGTTTCCGGCTTCTCGGGTCTCGTCTTCTGAGGTGTGGGAAGCCTTGGTGGCTTACCTCCTGCATGACTCAGATTATGCCTTCGTGATGGATCCACGTTCCTTCGTGTACGGCTCTTCTAGTTCGTACTGGGTTCGTTATGAAGTTCCGGAGTCATCCTGGTTGGCAGACTGTCCTCTGGTTCATTCTGGACTTGTCCCATCTGAACCCGTGGGTTTATTGCCCCTCCTTCCGGATGACTACTCTATCCCAGGTCAGTCTTCTGTTGGAGCCGGGCTCTTGGATGGTGTCCCTGGACCTCAAGGTTGCGTATTGGCACATCCCGGTTCATCCGAGGTTCAAGGACTGGCTCGGTTTTGTTGTGGGGTGTCAAGTTTACTACTTTCGTTGTCTTCCCTTTAGGTTTAATATGGCCTCTCGTTTTCACACACCTTACTCGGGTCGTGGTGTCCCGCCTGAGTTTGTTAGGTGTTCGGGTTCTGGCCTACTTCGACGACTGGCTGGTTTGGGCTCCCAGCCAGTCCGCGTGTCTGCTCACCAGGGATTTGGTTCTTTCCCAGCTCGCCGGGTTATTGTTCTTGGTGAACTGGAGGAAGTTCCATCTGGTTCCCTCTCAGGTTCGGTCTTGGCTGGGTCTGGTTTGGGACGCTCGCACTGCTTCTTTGTCTCTGCCTCCAGTGGCTCTGCTTCACCTGTGGTCCTGCCTTCGTCTGTTTCTGAGGGGTTCCCGGGTCATGCGGCGGTTGCTCGAGAGTTTGTGCAAGAGCCTGAACTTTGCAACGATGGTCTACCCGCTGGGTCAGGTGTGGCTTTGTTGGCTGTTCTGGTTCCTAAGGGGACATCCCTTCTGCCTCTCTCGTGACCGTTGGGTTCAGCCTCTGGGGGCTTTGTGTCGTTTGCTGCATCAACAATTCAAAGTTTCAGAATACATGGTTTGCAAAGCTAGGAAGCTGAAAAAAGAACAGGGAATACTAACAATTCCTAAGAAAATGCAGGGCAAGTCAGTTCCTGAGGAAGTGAAGAAAAGGGTAATACAGTTTTTTGAGGGTGAAGAATTTAGTCGAATGTGTTCCGGTAAGAATGGAAAGAAAAAAAGTCATGATCAGTGCACTAAGAAGATGGAGAATGATAATTGGAATTTTTCGATATTGCACCAAGGTATGTAATTTTCAGAGTCCTCTGGCTGAACTAGGAATTCAGATCCCAACCTAAATAAAAGTTACTCTTGTACAGAAAAATCTGCTCTATCCAATGGTGTCATTCAAAACCAAATTGGGAATGATACATATTGAGATATTTTGCCTTGAAAGTTGGCTAGTTTTGCACAAAATTTGTTTTTGGCCAACTTTCATGTGGGCCACCTCTGGACATATGGATACAATAGAGTTGCTATTGCATCACTGCATAATATTGTGCTTGTTATACATCGTTGCAAAAGATCATGGCATTTAGATCTTTTGTTAATGAGTAAGTAGTCTCCAAATTGGGGTCCAAATTTCTCACGACAAAAATTTGGCAGTGATTTTAGCATGGATTGGTAGCTGAATGGCTACCCCAAACATCGTAGGGTAGGACTAGTTGTCCTGGTATGCCAAATTTCACACCTCTCTGGGCACTAGACGTGTTTGATAAAGGGTCAAAGTTGGCCCTGTTTACGATATGTACGCATTAACGGGATGAGAGCCCATTGAACATGGACCTATTATTTAAGAACCAAAGCAGATTGAGCTCTAATATTTTGCACATTTTCATTTGGGGTCCTAGGGCTACCTTTATTACAAAATTTCATTAGATTTAGAAAGGGTTGAGTGTGAGGCCTTTGGTGAATTCACATGGAATGACCCATTTGCTGGTGGACAGGATGCACGTTTTTGATCACCCACAAGCTGAGTACAGTATATATTTACCTTAATGCACAAAATTGTTTTCCAGATAAGGTAGTTACAAAATGCAATTTATCTTTCTAAATAATGTCATGAACTATGTTTCAGAGTGTTTACTCAACATACAATTGGGGTGATGATGTGCCAATTTAAGCAAGGGCAAATTCTCAAGACAATTGGTTGGCTCAACTCTAGAAATATTTGGACATCTTTAACAGTGAATACAGACAAAAAAATATGGTACAGTCCAGACAAGAAAAGAAGAGAATCATGGAATGCACCAGAAGAAAGGTACTGAATATCACCAGAACACAATGTATTGTACTGCATATCAATCATTAGATGTCCTTACTTGACTATAAAGTTCAGTTTTTTGCTTTAGCTGAACAGTTTTGAACAACAACAACAATGTTTTGAACCTGTGTGAAACATTTGTATAACTTCCATTTATAAATTATTAAGTGATACCCTGTTACAAGAGCTAGTTTTTTCTTAGACATCTTAATACCATAATGATTGACATACTGTACTATGTTGATATATACTGTTAATAATATGTTGCAGAGAAATAATCCACAAGGATGAGTGGCAGGGCGTGTTTCATCATTTTATGCCCAAAAAAGGCATCAGTCCTGATGTAGTGCGTGCATTGCAAAAAGGCATTGATCTTCGTCCATCAGCAATTAAAAATTGGTTCAAAACTCAGAAACATAATTATAAAGTAATAGATCAGAGGTAAGCAATTCTGCATTTTTTTGCATGGGCGTATTTCATTGTGTGGATGTGTAGGTGCATTCTTTTACATGCCTAATGCCATGACAACTCTTACCTCTTTCACTACAATGCTTAACCTGCAAAATTACAAAAAAATAGGCATTATCTATGATATTTTACTTTTCTGTGGGGAGCCCCTATGGCTCCCCAGAGCTTACCGGACTGATATGTATGTATTAGACTGTGGCATCAGTCGCTCGGAGTTCTTAGCTACCGGGGACCACGAGCGAGACCCTGGCCCCCCTCAAAGAGGTACGAGGAGCAGTGACCCATGGAAACCCTCATGTATTTGGACGCATTCCATGTCTGCCATCGGGCTGGGGAGGAGTTAACTTGGGGGGGTTTGGGCCCCGTTTGACTCCTCTTGGGTGTTGTTACCCATGGTGCAAGGTTTGTTGTTACTGGGGTAGGGGTTTTCCTATCCCCTCTCCCTGTGCAAATTTGATATGAGTTCGGCTCCTCCCCGGGTTCGGTTCTAGGTTCCCTTAGTTTCTTCGGTTCCCTCTTTCCAGAGGTTTTTGGCTTCCAGCATCCCACATAGGGAGGTGAGGGAGACCATTGCAGCTTGCCTCCTGTGAGACCTGGATTAAGCCTCGATAATGGATCCTTCTTCTTTTGAGTTTGGCTTCTCTTTTCCTTACTGGGTACGTTACGAGGTGCTGAAGTCTTCCTGGCTGGCAGACTGCCCTTTCTTTTCGTTAGGGGCATGGCACGCGTTCTGTCAGACCCGCACACTTGAGTGGTGAAAGTTGACTATGGTCGTTCAGGGGGGGGGGGGGGGGGCGGCTCTGAGTTGGAGCACCTCAATGCGTGCTTGTTCGCCCATGCTTCCTCGCGATGTCGGCCAGGTACAGCTTTGCGTGCAGGTTCCTTCCCTTTCGGTGTCCATGGTGGCTGAGGATTTGCACACCCATGGGCATTTGACTTTGGTTTTGTGTTTCTTTTCCGTCTTGGAGCTGTCTTCCGACTGGCTCGAGGAGGATGTGGACGAGTCATTCTGGAGTGGGTATGCTTGGGCGTGGTCGAAACGATGGCATCCCTCAGGTGGGTGTCCTGCCTGTTTCCAGTTCTCAAACGGGACTGTGCAGATCTGCGGTTCATTCTGGACCTGTCCCATCTGAATCCCTGGGTCTTTTCCCCCTCCTTTCAGACGACTGCTCTGTCCTAGGTCCAGCTACTTTTGGAGCCGGGCACTTGGATGGTGTCCCTGGACCTCTGGGACGAATATTGGCATGTCCTGATTCATCCGGGGTTCAGGGACTGGCTCGGTTTTGTTTTGAGCGGCAGGGTTACAGCTTTCATTGCCTTCCATTCGGCTTAAATCTAGCGCCTATCGCATTTTTACATGCCTTATCCGGGTTGTGGTGACCTGTTTGCTTCTGTTAAGTGTTCAGGTTCTGGCTTACCTCGATGACTGACTGGTCTGGGCTTCCAGCTGGTCTGTGTATCTGCTCGCCAGGGATTTGGTTCTTTCCCAGCTCGCCGGGTTCGGGTTCTTGGTGAACTGGAGGAAGTCCCATTTGGTTCCCTCTTAAATTTGGACTTGGCTGAGTCTTGTGTGGAACTCTCGGATTGCTTCCTTGTTTCTCCCTCCAGCAGCATTGCTGCGGCTGCAGTCCTGCCTTCGGCTTTTTTGGATGGCACCCAGGTCATTCGTCAGTTGATCGAGCAGCTGTGCAGGAGTGATCGGATCTGGCTGTTCTGGTTCCTTCGGGGACGTCCCTTCTGCCACTCTCGCGATCGCTGGGTTCAGACCCCGGGGGCCTTGCATCGGCTGCTGCATCGCCAGCTGTTTATTTAGGCTTTTTGGGGTTTAGTGCTGTGGTGCCTACCTGAGCCTTCACTCGATGTATTCGGATATGAGACATCTCTCAGCTTCATGCTCTCCTCCAGCGCAGGGGTGTCTGCTCTTTTGGTCCTGGTGGTCATTTTGTCCGTTTGCAGCCATCTCCTTAGGCCTGGGGTGTATCATGGTTTGTGTCCGGTTGCAGCTCTTCACCATTACTTGCCTGCCACAGCCTCTGTGGAAGGGGACGTGCTTTGGGTTGACCCGGTTTCCCTTCTTCCCTGTTCCAAGGCGCAGGTCTCCCAGGTTGTCTTCAGGATTATTCGGTCCATCCAACATGTTGTCTATCCCCGTGCCCACGACGTTCACAAGTTCGCAGCTTTGGCTGCTGTTTTACATGTCTTGCGCTGACATTCGGGCATGGGGATTTTGGAGGTCGAACAGGGTCCTGGCCACGCTGTTTTTCATTAATGTTCCTGGCCCTTCTCGGGGTTGTGTAGCCTTGGGTTGCAGGTTGCAGCCAGTTGTCTCGACTTCACATTGAGGAGCGAGTGGCGGGCGCCTCCCGGGTAAGTCCCTCTTTTCCTTTATCTTTGGTTATGTAGCTTTTGGGAAGCTGAAGGGGCTCTCCACAGAAAACCTGCTTTGAATGGAATGAAATGCCATTTTCTGGGTGAGACCCGGAGCCCCCCCCCCCCCCCCCCCCCCCCCCCGGCATCCCTCCCTCCCTCCCTCTGGTAGGCGTTTTTTTCGCGTTTTTGATATTCAGCTTTTAAACGGGTTGGGTAGCCAGTGCGGGAGGTTTGGGGTTCCCCCTTCCCCTTCCTGGGGAAGGGGGAGCTGCGCAGACAATGGTGTGGTGGTTGTGGTGTGCAAGCATGCTTGTTTGCTTGTTTTCTGATTGGGGAGTTCTGTCTGCTCGTTCAGTTTGCAATTTTTAACCAGCTCTAGTTTTTGGGATTCCTACCTTTCTGGATGCCTGACCTGGTAGATGGCAGACATAAACTGCTTCCAACTAAATAGGGGTGTCTATAGGCCATTGTTCCTCGTGCCTCTCTGAGGGGGGCCAGGTTCTGGCTCGTGGTCCCCAGTAGGCCAAAAATTCTATCGATTGACTGTTACCACAGTCTAATATATACAAATCAACCCGGTATAGTGCAGGAGAGCCTCTGGGTCTCACCCAGAAAATGGCGTTTCATTATATTCAACTCTATTTTTTTTCCACAAAATAACTTTGTATTATATTACGGGAAAATAAGGTAATAATTCCCAATGTTTTATTGTACAATATTAGCAGTAAGTTTTAAGGAACATCTGGTCATAATTAGCCCTCTTGTCAATACAGTATTGACATGATGACAGTGAAGTAAAAAAACAACTACAGCAACACAATTATGTACTGTAAGTAGAAATATTGTGTGTATTATATTGGAACCCAAAGTCTATGTAGTGGAATCCCTTTCCTGGTTGGTTTGGAATACTAAGGCATGACTCATTCGATACTTGGTACTTGCTACAAGTGGCCTCTGCTTCCCAATAATAACTTTGGGTTGAGCATTGTGTAATCAGTTGCAGGCTACTGCATGTCTGCTTGAGTTTTTTTTGCTATTTTATGTGCAAAGAATCGGAAAAATATTTGGACAAGGTCTAGATCATATGATCATTTGATCATATTTATTTTTGTTTATTTTCTTTTCTAGCATTATTATATTTTGGTCCTCTAACTTAGCCCCTGTAGCTTAGTCATCTTAGTTCAGGTACTGGTCATGTTGCAGATGTCTTTATCTTTTCAAGTTTCTTTTCTGTGGGGAAACCCTGTCGGCTCCCTGGAGCTATTGGATTGATATTAGCTAATATTAGTACGGGATTTCAGTAATATGGAGTTGTCATGCCTACCGGGGACCACTAGCCAGAACATGGTCCCCCCTCAGAGAGGCAAAGGGATCAAAACTCATGTATGAAAGTATTCATGTCTGCCATTGACCGGGGTTGAGTACCCAGAAAGGTAGGCACTTCAGGCACCGTCAGTTTGTCGACTGAAGCTATACGGGGTGGAAGTCTGCTCTGGTCTCAATTGCCTAATTGGCTTCACCCTGTTGGTGTTCCCTGCTGTGCATTGGCAGTGGCCAGAAGTTTGTACCAAGGGCTGCATGAGCTTAGGGCTCCCTTCCCTTAGTGCCCTGTGAGTTCACCCCTTGGGGTTCAGAGTCCTCTTCTCTGGGTCCTTTGGGTCCCCATTGCCATAGAGGTAGCACCTACTTGGCTTTCAGCCTCGCCCTTGGGGTTAGCTTAAGTCTTGGTACTTTAGTTTGGCCCTGGGTAGAGAGTGGTTATTGCTGGTTGGGGGCACTTTACTGCCCAGTTTGCATGATTGCGGCGGCCGTGACTCTGGTCTCCGAGTTGTGGGACTTCCTCGGGGTTCCTTTCCTACTTTTAGTTTTCTTTTGCCCGTTGGGAGACTGCCGGGGTTCCTATTAGGTGATTGGGTATCGGAGCAGGGTTTAGCTGGGGATGAGAGGGGCAGCTCAGGGGTTTTGATCCTGCCTGGGATTTGGGCGGGGTCTGCTGTTGCAAGGTTCGGGGTTTTCGTACCCCCCTTCCTTATACAAATTTGACATGGGGTCGGCTCCCCGCCGAGTTTGTTTCCGGGTTCCCTTGGGTTCCACGGTTGTGTCCTTCCTGAGGTTTTCTACCTCTCGAACGTCCTCTGTGGAGGTTCGGGAGCCCTTTACTGTATACCTTTGTTTTCGTTAGTGGCATGGCATACGTTTTCTTGTTCCTGCACGTTTGAGTGGTGGGAGCCCACTATGGTGTTGCAAGTGTACCTCATGGGTGCATTTGAGCATCTAAATGCGTGCTTGAACTCTTCTGTGCTTCCTCATGAGGTTGGTTTGCTCCAGTTGCATGTCCAGGTCCCTTCCCTTTCGGCTGCTTTGGCTGTGGAAGATCTTTGGACTTGCGGGCTTTTGGTCTCGGTCCTTCGCTTCTTTTCCCTTCTCGAGCTGTTATCAGACTGGCTTGTGGAGAATGTAGAGGCGTTGCCTGCCGGGTCGTCATCTGCCACATTAACTTCAGTGGCCAGGGCGTCTGCAGCGTTGCTTAAGCTGTTCGTGCCTCTCCTCCGGGAGGCTGTGTCCTTGTTTTATGCTTCTTGCCTCGCGTGTTAGTAGGCTGT